TAGGTAGCATGAAAAGAACTACACTGGCTACTTTTTCAATGCTGGAAATCAACCTTGGAGAGGCATGTGCTGGTAGAAGGGGAAAGCAGGAGCCTGGGGCTGATGGATCATGCTGTATCCAAACAGTGCTCAAGCCTCCTTCCCTCCCACTCTGCAGCACTTCATCTAGATGGCTAAAAAGGGCTGTCTCATTGAAATGCAGGGAACAAGGCTTGGAGCAGTAGAAACTGCCCCTGCCACACCTTGTGTTCAGCACTAGATGCATGTAAGCCTCCATATTCAATGTTGTGACATTGGCTCATGCCTTAAATTGTGCAAAGTCCTGTGGGTGGAGAAGGGATTCAACCATCTCCTCCCTGCTGCTTCTCTACTCAAACTCATTCTGCTCTGCACTTCATAGCTGTCCAATAGCAACCCATGTCAAGACATAGTCAAGATGTGATGCTGAGATACAGACCAGGGCCTTAGTCCTTCATGCTCTCAGCCACAGCATCACACCAGCTCTTCAACTGGGATGACTTTACTATGCCAACCTGTGGACTGTCTCATGTTTATAAAGTAATAATGGAAACGCCAGCAGCTCCGCTTTCTCCCCATAAAGCCATTCATGAGCAAACACTGTGATGTTTGATTAAGGGCCTGGCTTCAGACTACAAATATTGACATTGCCAAATCATTTAATCCACCTCTAAACTAACACCCCTTTCACACATTATTCAGAGAAATAAATCAGATTAAAGCAGAGAGCACTGAGTTGGCGTACGACAATAGTGTATGCATGTGTATGTGTGTGCACACTCTCACACATGAAAGACAGAGAAGGTGTGCAAATGTTAACTATGTTACACTGTGGCATATGAGCTACAAAGGCCTGAACCAAACCTGAAATTGCTGCCAAGCCAAGCAAAGGATCCTACAACATTGGAAATCAGTTGGACTAACCTTAAGAGCAGCATTGGTCCTCACAGAATCATAGCATAGGGTCAGAAGGAGCCAAGAAGGCCATCATGTCCAAACCCCTGCTGGTGCAGGGCACCAGTTACATCATTGCACTCAGATAACCCTCTGGTTTCTTATTCAATGTCTCTAGTGTGGAAGAGCACACAACCTCCCTTGGCAACTAGTTCCACTGTTGTATTGCTCTAACAGAATGTTCTTCCTTGCATCTAGCCTGCACCTCGTGTACCGTACTTTAACTTCATTGTTAGGTGTTCTACCATCTGGGATGAGTGAGATTAGGTCTTTTCCTTCTTCTTTGTGACAGCCTTTGAGAGACCTGCAAAGTGCTATCATATCACCATGTAGTCTTCTTTTCCCAAGGCTGAACAGGCCCAGTTCTTTCAGCTGCTCATCATAAAATTTATTTTCCAGACTCTGTATCATCTTTATTGCCCTCCTCTGAACTCTCTCCAGATTTTCACCATCCTTTTTAAACCTGAAGGTGCCCAAAACTGAACACTGTATTCCAGGTGAAGTCTGACTAATGCAGAACAAAGGGGAAGGAGCACTTCTCTTTTTCTAGAAGTGATACCTCTCTCTCTCTCTCTCTCTCTCTCTGTGTGTGTGTGTATGCACGCATCCCAAAATAGTGCTTGCCTTTTTTGAGGCTGCATCACACTGCTGGCTCATATTTAATTTGTTGTCTACAACAACTCCAAGGTTGCTTTCTTTCTCAGTACTGTTGAGCCAAGTATTCCCCATTTTGTATCAAAGCAGCTGATTTTTTCCCCCTAGGTGGAGAACTTGGCTTTTGTCCCTGTTGAATTTAATTTTTACTTTCCGCCCAGCATCCTATCCAAATACAACCATGATTCGATCTTATGTCCATGTTTAAAGCATGGTTAAAGCCTGCTTGCAAATCAGACCTGTTAATCTTCAGCAGTGGAATAGAGGGCCAAAATAAACATTCCTTTAAAACTGTGTTTGGCACATATGTTTTTTCTTCATTTCTACACTACAGTAGGTGCAGGAATCCCAGTCCAATTTTTAAAAGCCCCCTACTCCCCACCAAGCTAAGGTCCCAATCTGAACTGGGGGCCCTGCACCTATTTTGGAGTAAACATGGAAATAAGATGTAGGTGGTAGACACAGATTTAAAATGTTTCAATATTATCTGTGCCTGATTAGCTGTTGATTTGTCCGGGGGCCTGTTTTTATGCTACTGCCATGCATATTATTATTTTACTATTACTAATAGTACTTACTAGTGCCAACTGTCTGCTGCCAGATGCTATGCAGAAGAGTGCAGGGGCACTGAACATTTAGATTCCCATCTCATGCAAACAGGTGCAGGGTTCGGGTTTTCCCCCAGTTCTTCAATCTGTCTTGCATTCATGCTCTTGAATTTACCTTGTGTGCAATGGGTTGCTTCTAGAGCACACAAAGTGAGGTTCAAATTTGTGGCTGTGTCATGAGTCAGAGACATCCCGCATTCCTCTGCCTTGCACTCATGATCTTGAAGTTGCTCCATTTCTTGTGCGATTCCCCCTGTAGTTAGCTGCTCTGCTTTCACCAACCCCACTGTCACCAGCAGCCACCTTAAGCCAGCAATAGAATATATATAAGTAATGTGCTCTTTACTATTTGCACTGTACTTTCTAAAGGTAAAAAAATCAAAAGTAGAAAGCACCCACTTTGCTTTGCCTCTGCAGTTTGCAAGTGCCACTAAATCATTATATTCACTTTTTTTCCCACAGCTGTAATCAACGTGCTTCCAAATTTCTGTAGATGTTCATGCCAGTAGGACTGAGTTAGGAGGATATGTCTTCTGGGATGCTTCACTTTTTAAAATTAGATTTTTTACACTAATTAAAATATTTATAATACAAATAATTGAGTTTTGATGTAAAAGATCATCCTTCTCTTTATAATTCTGAATATTGTATCTTATTTTGGTGGTCGTTATAAACTAACAGCCAAGTAATAAATGTGTTAGAATGTGTGTGAAGTTTAATGTCTTTAATTTAAAATCTTTAATGAGAGCAGCACAATCTTGGTGTCACATTCTCTCCATAGTTATTATATCCTGTTCCTAAGCTTTTTAAATTTCCTTTCTACTCTTATTTCATATTTGTATCCTTCCCAATTCATTTATACAGTTAGGCTCATTACTGAAGTAGCAACAGCTGGATATTTTTATAAGAGTGTTGTTGTCATTAAATGTTTTTAAATAATGCAATTTTAATAGTATAATGCAAGATAGATAGAAGCTTTAGGAATTAGGAAATGTTATGTAGGACTATGAAAACACTACAACACTTCCACATGCTTAATATTTAGAGTATTTGCTTAATACTGCTCCTGATAAGCACAAGCCTTTTACACACATCCTTCAACTCTGCACAATGGACTGACCAGTAAGGCAAGCAATATTTCTAATACCCCAACAGAGGAAGCACAATTATTCTGTTAGTGTTATTTTGCATATAGTACATTGCATAATTCTCTGCATATCTGTGCCAGTGCAAATGTTCCTGGCTTCAGCACATCTCAGGATCATATGGTGTTGGTAGAACTGGACCTTAGGGACAGATTCCAGGTCCCATAGCCCAGAGGTCCCAAAGGACTAGTCCTTTGTGAGTGATCAGAGAAGCAAAAGCAAACTCAATTTTATTCCTGCAGTCATGATGATGCTACAATTTAAAAGACCTTAAAGTGCAAGGCAATACACACTAAGAGTATTTTTTAAAAGATTAATAAATCAGAATGGGCAAACATGTTAACATATGGAATGCAGAAGTAGTTTTAAGGCATGGATGTTGGTTGGGAGCAGGGGGAAGACACGTGTCAACTGTGAGCATTGTCACAGAAGACATCCAAACAGCCCCCCTACCCCTGCATGACTTCAGGGCCTAAAATTGCCTCACTGCACCACTCTGCAGGGGTGTTCCAGCCATGGCGGCAGAGCACTGCAGCCAAAACAATTTCTATGCTGAATATTTCTAGCACCGCTGGAAGGACACAGCATCTGCAGGAAATAAGGAGGGTGGCTCTTCAGAGCTTGCTAGAACTTCACTACTCACCGTCACTAACAATTGGCCATGCTGGATAGTGCTGATGGGAGCTGGAACAGAACTCCAGATGGTCACTGGTTACTTCCTCACCGCACCCCTTTCAAACCAGCCTTCCCCAGCCTGGTGAACTGAATCAGAACTTTTGCTTTTCCCAACCAACACAGCTGGGGATGAGGAGATTTGGCCCAACATATCTCTAGAGCACCAGATTGCTGAAGGCTACAATGCCCCCACCCCCAGGTTTTTCAGGAAGATCAAGTGACCTGTGACTACCCACCCACCACTTTTTAAGGTCATTAAATCCTCCTCCCCCATCAAATGCTTCCACCAATTTCTTCCTTGCAATATTCCAGAACTACATTATGGTTCACACTTTAGGTTATTTTTATTATTTACTTATTTTTCAAATTGATATGCCTCTGAATAGCCAGACAGGGCTCAATAAGCAGCTAATATTAAAATGCAAGCTAACATTACAATTACAAGTACAGAGGGATGAGAGGGGAGAAATCTGCTGGAACAGAGTTAACTTGTATAGTCAGGTGATAAAATCTGGTCTTAAAATTTCTGTGGAAGAGGACAGTTTTTGCCTGTTTTGGTTTGTTTTGTTTTGTTTACATGACTAGCCATCATTCTGGCACTACTAGCACCAGCATCTGTGAAAATTACACTACCACTTTCACACAACCACACAGAAAGAATGCATTAAAAGCCAAAGCATGTTGCAGTCCCAGGCTGAATGCTGGGAAGATTCCTACACCTCAAGGGAACCTAGCTAGCGCTCTCGCAACAACAAATGCATAAACTCTGCATTTATGGACACAAACACCAATCCAGCATCCACCAGTCCAGCATCCACCTTTCCACTCAGCATCCTGTGGAAGACAACCCTTCAGCTGGTTATCCCTGATAATGCATGAAGGATCTGTAGCAGCCATAAACAATTTGCTTTCATAAATGGCAGACAGCAATAGAAGAATGACGTACCGGACAAGATGAGGAGCTCAATAATCTCTGCATCTCCTAGGAAAGCAGCGACGTGAAGAGGAGTCCTCTTCTCTGTGTCCTAAAAGGCGGCAAAAATGGCAAATGTGGTTATCAGTACAGAAAAATCAGAGGCCTACAACTACCACTGGGGCCAGGTGTGGCCTGTAGCTCCGAGGGAGAGAGGTGAGACCAGGCCTTGATCACTCATGGATGGCACTCTCAATACAGCTATGAGGGAGAAAGAAGTGGGTGGCTGGCAGAAGGGCCACTGACAGGTTTCCCTTGCTCCAGTCCCAACAGTAGCAAAGGTCAGTATTATAACAGGACTTTTGACATCTGTGCGATGCTGTGGCCTATAGAAACAGCTCCAGGATTTTTTTTGCAAGGGAAGGCAGAGACAGCTCAGGCAAGGGCTTGTTATCCTGTATGACACCCCTTCCCAACCAAGTGCCCTCCAGACGTTTTAATTTTAATTATTCTTTCAAATACAAAGACAAATACCAAAATCATACAATAAAGAAAAGAACACTCAGTTTTCAAAATAAAGTTTAGAAAACAAGAATCACCCTTGGTGCACCCCTCTACCAGGTCCATGGCTGCCTAGTATTTATTTTTTTCCCATTTTTATGCTCTTACTGAGATACCCCCTTCCTTCCAAAATTGCAGTACATCCTTTGAGGTGTGATTACCTTCCCCTTTTATTAATTCATATTCAATAAACATACCCCATATTATTAAAATCATTCTTCTCTGACAGTCCTTTTTTCACCCTTATCTTGCACATCAACTTGTTATTAACTGCTATATACACCAAACTTCTTTATACCATTCAATTAATTAGAAATCCCTTTTCTCCTTCCAATTCTTTGCTATTAATTTTGCTGCAGATACAAAATTCATTATCATTATTAATTCTCTGATATACCATTTCTTTTCACAAAAAATAGCAACAATGCTATTTCAGGGTCTGCTTCAATTTTTACATCCAGTATCTTACTAATCTCTTTAAAAATCATTATCCATTTTTTTAATGTTTCCATATTCCCACAACTTATGGAAATAGGTACCCATATTTTGTCCACATCTCCAATATACATTAGATTATTTATTATCCATATGAAATAGTTTAACCAGAGTCATATACCATTTCCATACTAATTTATAAAAATTCTCCTTAATTCTAATTGACACACTTTTTAATATTCTCCTATCCCATATTTTCCACACTTATCCTTGTCTATGTCCTTCCCTAAATCCATTTCCTACTAAAACCCTCCAGATGTTTATGGAGACTTTTCATGCAGCATCCACACCAATTTTTAACTAGTCACAGCTGGCTGGTTTCTTCTCAAAATCTGAAATTTATTAGATTTATATCCCACTTTTTTTCTTACAGCAAATGCAAAATGGCTTACATTAGTCTCCTCCTGCTGCTCTCAACCTTATCCTAACAATAACAACCCTGAGAGGTAGCTTGTGCTGAGAGCCTGTGAACCACTCCATGGCCAAGCAGGGGGCTAGAACCCAGATTTCCTGAATCCCAGGCCCACACTCTTACCCCAGACACCACACTGGCTCTCAAATTATTAAATACAAATATATACTTAGATATTTTATTCTATGGGTGTGTGTGACAATTTTGATGGTCAAAAGCAGAGCCTATTTTGAAAGAACCTTGGGTGAGATGCACAGAAGTATAGCCAGTACAATGAATAATAGAGTCTTTGTTGAAAGGAAGGAAGGAAGGACATATTTCTTATACATATTTAAATTTATGACCTTGTCTATCCTTTCCCTACAGATAAGAGAGACTTCACTTCTATATCCACGTACTCCCCAGCTTCCATTTTATTTCTGTGCTATTATTTCTTTCTATCTGCACTTCCAAGTCTAATTTTTGTAGTAGTAATGATTTGCTTGTGATCCCCTACTGGGGATGGAAAACTTCAGCTGATGCCAAACATCTCTGTAATTATCCACATCCCACTCTCCACCTGTACTCCATGCAGACATAATCATAATTATGATAGTATAGCTCTAGTAATGAAGGAAAAGGCCTGTTCCTGATGAGCACTGCATATGAACTGCTGAACACGGGCACTCAAACAGTAAGTGGGCTGAAGGTGGAAGCAGCAGCTGCCACTTTTGATCAGGAAAGGTTCGCCCGTGAACAACACCATAGCTGGATAAGGCTACATTTTTTTCAGGCAAGGGTTCTCCTGCATGGTGCCTTTCCGACAGCACCAACTCAAGGGGGTGGGAGCCCTTGGACAAGATGTGGAGCACAGTGGGCCCCGCCATAAATCCTCTCTTCCTGCTCCCCATGCCTGCCACTGCTTATCTACGCAGGAGGCATAAACCAGAGTTATGGAATCCCTTCAGCCCAAGGGGGGCCAATTGTGACTTCAGCGAAGCTTGTGGCGGGGGGAGACACAATCAAAAGCAAAGGGGTGAGGTCAAAAATTTAAAAGAATGACAACATATTGCAGTGGAAAGTGCTTCCTACCAGTAACGAAACCTCAAGAGAGGTGTTCCAACTTTTAGAAGGTGGGAGGCTACAGAAGGGCAGTGAACTTACCAAACAACTGGCAGATGGGAGAAAGGGGTTGGAACCATGACAATCCGAGGGCTAAGTTTAGATCCTATGAGGGCTGGGTTTGACTTCCAGCACAGCAGCAGGACCAGGGGGCTCCAAAGATCAGCAATGGTCCCTCTGCAGGAATGTAGACCTTGGCAAGTGTCAAATGGTACTGACTCCCAGTGATAGCCCTTCTCTGCAAGGAGAAAGGCTCTCCTGAAAGCAGTCAGTGGTTGTGTCATAAACAGAAGGTCTTGACATCTAAGTCCTCTGCCACACTCTTTTGCTCTCTCTCTCATGTAAAAGTTTAAACCAGCCTTCCCCACCCTGGTATCCTCCTGATGGGTTGAACATTAACTCCCCACATGGCCCACCTAGCCATTATTTCTTTATTTGGTCCACCAATCACAGTCAGATACAAAAGATGTTCAATAAGAGAGAAAGAACAGAGTACCACCGAGTACATTCTGACCTTAGGAATTCATTTTCAGCACTACAACTGAACTCAGCTCTCAGTCATTTCAAACAACAGGCCACTACGCCAGTCTCTGACCTGGAAATCAGTAAAATGTGCTGATCTACCACAAATCACCCTGAGATCTGACAGTAGACCCTCATCTAACTTCTGCCCATTCCTGATGCACAAAACCCTAAATATGGCACTCAGCCTTAATGAAGTTTAAAGCATCTCTGGAAGTTATGACCTATCTGCAGTGATGGGAAGATGGCTACCAAACTATAAAAAAACCCTAAGTGGCAGGGCACGTAAACTGATGCAACATCTCTCTCATTTCCTCTATACATGTTAGGGAAGGAATCAAGTACACATAAACACTCCAACCAAAAGAATGAAATTCGACAACAGGAAAGATTACATACCTTGTTAAGATAAGCAAGGCATGTTTCAAGTACAGTCCTTAAACAAACAAAAAGGATCTGCCCAAGAAACTAAGTAATTCCAAAAATATATTTGTTGAAGGAAGAAGTAAAATTAATTTGCCTCTTTGCTTTATCCTTTGACAAACTTATCATTTGCTTTGCTCCTTCTCTAAACAAGAGAATATGCTAGAAAGACCAGAAAATTATGCATCAAGAAGGTTATTTGTCTTTCTGGGGGCAATAGCAAAATAACATAATCAAGGACACTAGTGAATGCAGAATAATTGCATGTGTATCATTTATGTCTAAAAGATTTGCAAATCTTCACAGAATTGTCTATCTAGTCAATCCTATGAAATGTGCTAAGGTGGACAAAATTATCACCCAATATTCCACCATTTTAGACAATGTAACCAAAGATAAGTAGAATTTTCAAAGTGGGAAATCCTAGATTTTTTTTTTACAAAAACAGCAGTGAATAGGATATGTACCTCCAAATTAGTGAATTCCACAATCCATGATTTACTTGTAGCTGGATCAAACACATCTGTAACTGGCATGGGCAAAATGAAGGATGAACATGCATGCACGAATGCATGTACACACACAATTTACAATTTACAAAACCATTGCCAGGTAGTGATTAACAAACATTATGACAAAATAAGTCTTGAGGGGACTGGCAAATGACCATAGGAGTAGGAATGCTTTCACACAAGAGCATCACCTGGGCAGCTTCCAACAAAATCACTCTGATCCAGCACCTTTCATCCATTTTGTGGTTCAAAGGTGACCGTTACACTTGGAAATAGCCAAGTAATTATCTAAACTGTAAGCACACACCCTCTCCAGTTCAAGGCAACTTTATGTACTCTCAGTCTCACTATGTCCCTACTAGGCAAGTACATCGAATGGTGCCAGGAGGTAAGCCCTTCTCCTCAGTGGCACCCCGAATTTGGAATAGTGTATCCAGTACACCTGGTACCAATCTGATTGTTATTTTGGTGCCAGGCTAAGACTATTTGTTCAGGCAGACATTTACAACTAGTCAGCACTGCTGTGGACAGATTAATCCATTCATTTATCAGAGTGGTATATTCTTTGGGTAAATTCTATGACGAGCATGATTTATTTATTTAGGATATTTCTGCACTTTCATTCCCGGATGGCTTACAGTAAAATCTATAAATACACTGTACATATCCCAAACAACAATAAATTAGATATCCCACAACTAAATAAAATTAATTATTAAAATAATTATTAAAATAGTGCTGATAATGTACTTTGATGTTGAAATGCTGTTGTTGCCTGACCTGGGATGTTTTTAAATGAAGGGTATGATATATATGGAAATACTGCTAAATAATAACAACAACACGAGTATGTGATCCTATAATCTATGGCAGACAGGCATTCAGACAGTAAAAAAAAATCTATCAGAAAAATTAGACTGCAATATTCCCTGAGAATCAAGTTTAACACAGTCACAAAGTGCTTGTTCTTGAAGAGATATAAATGACACAGGGGTTCAGCAAATCATGGGTTTTTGCCTAGAGTCTAGCTAGGGAGCTTTCTGAACTGTCCCTTTCATTAGGTCTGGCACATTAATGACATTAACATTCTATAAAGCCCAATAAACAGGAATGTCAAGCATCCTTACCATCACTGGCACTAGGCCAGTGAGATCATTTGGAGGAACCCTGTGTTTACAGCTAGTAGTGGACAGATAAGTAATCAAATGTGCCATCATATTTAGAAGAAGCATTTTGCTTCACCTCACATTCAGGAAGAAAAATGCGTTACTCCTATCTTAGCTGCACTAACTACACAAAGGACCATCTAAAGCAAAATGAGTAGATTGTAGGAAAAAAAGCCCTCCCAGGTATGCTCACATAAAGTTAATAGTTTAAACTGATACAAGGAGATAAGGCAAAGAAATGAACATATTTTGCTTTGTTAAGGGCAGATATACACCTTATCAAATATCAAATATTCCCTTGCATCTTAACCACATTGAGTTTGAAAACCCAAAAACAGTCCAACATCAGTGAAAAGAAAAGTGCTCAAACATTCTTTGAAGTTGCAAAGCTTTATTGAAATATCAGCATGTTATAGAGTAACTTTCTAACAAAGGAGTAATCAGAAACCCAGTAAGATAGGCCTAGGACTCTCTGTCAGACCAATAACTAAGCCTTAGGAAAGCCACTTCAATTTTTTAAACTGGGGAGGGGGAAGCTGGGAAACCAGTGGTTGAGGAAAAAGAGATATGGCTGCCTGAGGAACTCCCGAGGATAGCTCTGAGATACATCATCACTGCAGTACAGGATGTGATAACTGGTAGGACCAACTAAAGTAAAGTGGAAGAAGCTACTATCTGGTCTTCTATAACATTTCCAAACAGTGGTCCAATAACACTAAGTGTTATGCACATGAGTTTCTATGAACCCATAAATAAAAATAAAAATTTTATTTTGCATACATCTAAGCCTTTAAGTAATTAAGGTAATTACTAGTAATTAAATAGACTAGCTTCCATATATGCCCACTGTTTACATATTTTTAATCTGCATCATTGCACACCTGTTAACTTAGTATAATGCTTCATTCATCTGATGCTTATACCTTAATGAATTTATTAGTTTGTATAGTCTCACAACAATTTGATATTTTTGCTACCAATCTGGAATTTGTTTTTGGTATCTCTTGGAAAATAAATACTGTTTTTACTATCTCCCAAACATAGCAACAAGCAGCTGCCTTGAACAGAAATAACTCTGAATGTCTTGTATATATACAGCTCTTGCCCTGAGCCACAACTACTAGCCTTGATGTCCAAGGTTTGCTGTCAAAGTGATGCCTTCATAGCACTTACTGCAGTTACAAAATAATAGAAACCAATAAAAGAACAAAAAGTAGTAATTTTATTTTGGAAAAGAATGAAAGAAGAGGGTACTGTGGATATCTTTACTCTTTTTGCCAGCCCTATTCAGAAACTGCAGATATTTGGGATGGCACTCTGCGTCAGACAAACAAAAACACTTTAGGATTTTTTCTAACCAACCTAGACAGTTCCTCAGGAGTCTGCTGAGTACTCAGTAACTGATCATAATCTACCTCTTCCTTTTTATCTCATCACTTCCTCTTCCTCCATTCCATTAAACATCCATATAAAATTACCATCCATTCGGTGTACACCCAAGCCTTGCACTCCATGTGCACAATAAAAATATCCAGTGCAGACTGTTCTTGCACTTGATCTCTGCTGGTCTGCATATATTTATACCCTTGTCTGATTTTAGGCTTGTCTTAACTGAACTAAGATCTGCCAGAGGTCCCTTACAAAATAAGTTACGAGCAGGAAGTCTCTCCAGGACTGCTTACTATATAGTTAATTCTTGAATCCCTGGTCTTAGTTCTGTTGTCACTTATTCCTATATCATTACACCTGCCATCAGCTTGAGGAGTCTGTGCATGGAAATCCTTCATTTCAGATTGTTGGTATGATGGCCTTCATGGCCCCTTCCAACTCTACCATCCTATGATTCTATGATCTATGGCTCTGTGACCATCTGGGAGCCCTAGCATATATCAGTTCTGTTAAAGGAATTGCTCCAAGAGCAGACACTCTACCTGCTGCAACTACTCTTGATCCTAAACCCAAGCATAAGATCCTACTTTAAAGAACGTCTCTATTTTTGCCTGGAGTTTTAGCAGTGACAAAACCATATCTTCTGTGGTGTTGGCTATCCTTCCTAGCTTTTTATCATCTGAAAAACTGATAAGCAACCGCTCCACAGAGCCATCCAAATCATTTATGAACCTGTTGAACAACACAGAGCCCAGGTCAGAGCACAGCAGCGCTCCACTCAACATCTCCTTCCAGGAGGATGCTGAGCCATTAACTAGCACTCAGGCTCACTGAATATAGCTGCTCAGGCAGCTGTGCATTCATCAAATTGTAGTACTGTTTAATTCATATTTTACCTTCTTGTCAACATGGGAAACATTGTCAATGGTTTTGCTGAAATTAAGATATATTACATGTACTACATTCCCATGATCTATCAAACCGTCAAAAAAGAAGAGATAGTTGCTTAGCATGACTTACTCTTGACAAACCCATGTTGATTCCTAGTAATCAATGCACTATTTTAGGTGCTAACAGACTGATAACTTAACCATCTGTTCAAGAATGTTCAAGAACTGATGTCAGATTGACTATTTCTAGACTTCCAGAAACTTATTGCAGGAGTTCTCAAAGATGACAGACAACAGCTCAGAAATAACATCTGTAAGCTCTGATCTTTGGGACTCAAATTAATTTAAAGGGCCCTCTAACTACATCATTACTTGTTTTGGCCTCAAACCCCTCCATATATCATCTGCTCTGCTTGTCCCAAGTTCAACACAGCTCTTCTTGTGACAGAAGGCTCAGGAAGTTCAACTTCTATCACCTATTAATAATTTACCATCTGTACTAGGTAAGCAAGCCCCCAAAAGCATGCAAGACTTTACTTTTTAAGAAGGGTAGGGAGGAGAAATACCAATGGTATTGATCTGTTTTGAAAACATTGTCCTACTTACTATAAAAATAATCAGAAATGTATTGGATGGCAGGGTCTGATTTTTTAGAATAGAATTCCGGGCTTTGCTATGGATTTTGCCCTCCCCCCCTCCACTGGGTTTCCCTCCCTGCTTCACAATGAAGTCTGAAATGACATCCATGCCAATCAAGTTTCAGAAATGAAAACTGGAAAAGTTTTGTACAGAATCACTTACCAAAGCATTCACATCTTCTGTTTTGTAGATTAACATACGTATCTCATCAGCATCACCATTGAAAATAGCTTGGACCAGCGGTGGCTGAAGAGACAAAACAGGAAAGAAAAAGGTTTATGGATTTATCAACACATTCTAAAACATTCCTCACTGTGCAAGCATCATGTTTACATTTGACTGCACTGCATTCTATCAATAAAACAATTCTAGTTATTTTCTTATGTTATCAATGGCAAGGGCAGCATTAGGGTGAGAATTTCTAGCCAGATCAGAATCCTCAGTGTCGGTGGCACAGGCTAGAAACTAGAACAGGAAGTCTGCACTGATCTGCTGAAAAGGCAGAGCCAGAAGCCAAAGTGCCTTATGTCAGCCTTGACCAGTCAAGCCGCTTCGTACCACCTGCCAATCATACCCGCTCATCCCTTTACAGAGACCGCCTACACCAGGTTATTTGCCTATATCCCAGTCTTAGCTACAGACTATAGATGTATAGACTATACAGACTTAGCTATAATCCTCCTAGACAGCTTGTCACAGATCTAAGCAATTGTTCTGCAGATATCCTGTTGTTAACATGCTGAAATCCAAAGAGTTGCCCCAAGGAGCTTTTGACAGGAGCAAGGATTTCAGGGCCTGGCCTCATTTCCACAGCTCCTCATATTGCAACAACAAAAGCTCAAAAACCCTATAATTCATCTTCTGGGCATAATATCCAATATATACCAAAGATGAGGTGTAGAACACTGGTCCTGATCTAAAACAATGGTTTATGTATCAGGGAGGATTACACTATAAGGGTTGGGCCCACTCCTCTTATAAAAGGTTGTGGGTACAGTGGGTACTCGGATGAAAAGGAACCAGAATCCACAGCTGATATCCAAGGCCAATGGACCCAAATATAAGCCAGGAAGGTGCTGAGAATCAGTTTGAAATCCTGTCAGAAAGTTTTGTGAGCTGACTGATATGGAGGAGGGAAGACAGAATAGCATTAATCTGAGGATATGGTTTAAGAGCGATTGTCAAGCCATTGTCTCTCAAATAGGATCCACCCTGAAAGTGTGTTTTGCACTTTTCCAGTTTGGAAAGGATGAGGGGTATCCAGTTTGGAATCCACTTCTTATCATTTAGCCACACTTCCCCAATAGACAACGTGCTAATGTTTCAAGTCTCTTTTGTTTATTGACTCTGCAATACTCTTTCTTAGTACAACAGAGCCAGCCTAGCCTGCCAGCTTGAATGCAATAAAGCTTTTTGTTGGAAAGCCTGTCCTAGTCTGCTTGGAAGGTGGTATGGGGTGGAGATCTGAGTGAGACTGTATTCCAGGCCCTTGTTGCCCTTGGCCTAATTCTTGTGGCCCACAGAGAGAGCATGACAAAGAGGCAGAGAGAGAGAGAGAGGAGCGCCTGTGGTGGCCGAGAGAAAATCCTCTATGACCAATTTTCAACTGTGCAAACAGTGCCTTTTTTTGCTCAGGCTCTGCACAACACCAGCTGTGCCCGCCCACCTACCTGACTGATTTTCCCTGTGGGTCAACAACCCTTCCTAAGAAAAAGATTCCACAGCCCCAATCTAATTGCTGCCACATCTTTTAAAAATAGTTGCCTGGCAGTCCTTAAATAAGAAGCCTAATAATAAGGACTAATAATAATACTAGGTCATCATGCCCTGTGAATAATGTTAGAGATTTCCAGCCAAGCTGCCCACACAAATATGCCAGTGGAGTACACAGCACACTGAATAAATACAGGTTATCTCTTCTGCTTCCTGAGCTATTTTTAGCCAGGAGCTTCAGTCCAAGATGGCTTGTTTCTACGTTTCTTTATATAGCCAGACTTCTGCCCTCAAGATTTCTAATGTTTCCAGGTGAAACAGAGGGCACTTCCTGCAATTCCCTGGAACCTGGCCAGTCTCGTACCGGACACACACATAAATGATGCAGCACTGGAGCTGCATGTTTTGACAATAAAATAGCCAACATTTCCAAACCTATCCGTTGGGGCTCTGCAAATAGGCAGCGCATAAATGTATGGGCCAATTTTGAAAAGGAAAACCAGCATAGAGAACTTTACATTCCCTTTTCAATCCTCCTCCTTTCAAGATGATGCTATTCCATGCAAGCTGTGGCAGTTCAATGGCATAAAATGACAGATTAAAATCTGGTAAATCATTCCTCCCATCCAGTCTCTTATTTCTTAAATCTGCTACTGTAGTAAAGAGTGAGAGACACCCAAAGGAAAAGCTTCAATGCTGGTTCATAGAAGAAAAGTCATAGCCCTACAGAGCTTGCCAAAGGTGTTCCAGACAGAGTTTGCATTTTGTAATCACCCTATATAACCCACAGAATTTTACAGCAAGTCCTATTAAGTTTTCCTACCAGTTCTTCTGCCTTTTGTACTCAGAAGGTAAAGCTAGAATAACTGCACAATGTCTTTTGAATGGACGCACCAGACCCCTTCTACCTGGACGAACCTTGAGATCCAGAAATATACAATATACAGAAGAACTGAGCCAGCAGGTTTAACCCCCACACTTATTGCACACCTGTACTGAGTACTTCTCATTTGTGTTAATTTTGCACAGAGCCCAAATTCTGCTGTAAAAACAAGCATACATGACCCAGCTCATGAACCCTTAGGGCCATATTCTCAGACATGATAATGGAGAGTGCAAATAGCCACTTTCGAGACAAAAATAAAAACTGTCAATGTTACTTTCTTTAAGAGTCTCATTTTTGCAAACTTAGATTTGTTTTGTCTTGAAATTTGAGAATTTTTGTCATCTTAAATTCAGTTTCTCCCAAACTTTGAGAATGTTTAAAAAATGTGTGAATGTTTCTATGCATTTTTCTGCATGTATCTCCCAATACATGCATTTTTGTAGGCAATGGTGTCAAATATATATATTTGCAAGCTATGTTGGTAATACATGTAATTCATAATGCTATTTTCACTCTAATGCAAATTTTATACGTATTTTTGATTGAAGTCCTCTGTAGCAGAGTGGAGAATTTTTAAAAATATCTGAGTTTCTCCATTAGTTGTGCTGTTTGGAAAAGATGGGAGTTGAAGTCCAGCACATCTGAAAAGCACATGGTTGGGAAGGCTGAAATATAGCATAAAGTTCTAGTCTCCATTCACAGACACGTACGTACACTTTGGAGAGCTGAGGTGTATGAAAAACAGATGATGGTGCTTGTAACCAGTTCATCCAAGTGGTGAACAGTTTTCAAAGGGTTTTGTGGCCCTTTAAAAAGCCTGCAAAAAAAAACCCATAGAAGGCTGTGCTCCCTGTGAGCAACATTGCCTCTTTCACAACCCTTCTAAGACTCCAAAAACTACTGGGAGAATTTCAGGCTACCACTGAAATTATTACAGAATTTTAATTAGTTGCAGATTCTGGAAACTACCTTGTGTGTCCCATACATACCAAAAAGGGTAGGACACAAATGTGTCCCCAGGCACACAGAGAAACATAGTATATTCCATTGGCCCCTATATATAGTCACTATTTTTGATGCCTCTCTCTGGTTCAACACTGTCCCTACTGCACATTTTTGGGAGACACTGGGAATTCCCTCTGTGCTAGTTTTCAGGATGCAGTCCCCTTCCCAGGGTCTCTGGGTATTAAATGCCTTAGTAGAGTAGCTGAACATACATGGTGCAGAAAAGCTGGTACCCTCTGACTATTCTTTTCCATTGGCCATACTACTTGGGACTGATAGGAATGGTGGTCCAAAAACAGTGGCAGCAGCTTTCCAAAGATTTGGACAACTTTTTTCCCCATGGAGACCTACTCAGGGACTTTCTGTATGCAAAGTGAATGTTCCCCCATTGCACTACAGCTCTGACACACGTGGCAAATGTGCAGATAGAGTGCATCTCTGTACTTCCATTTATACAAACATTCATAACCAAGATGGTTGCTCTTTCACAACCTCTACATGTGCTGAATGTGCTTGAGTTGCAGTCATGCTATAATTACAATTGGAAAAATTGTCGAAATAAACATTATTAGTTTGAGGGCTGCTGTTTTTTTAAAACTGTGACTGGTCAATTTGTTACCCCACCCTGATTCAGAAGCCAACACAGAACATGCTAATGGGTAGAACTTTGACTCTTGGGTGGTGTAAAAATGAAGTTAATAAATAAATACAGAAATAAATACAGAAATGTGAGGCAATGTACTCAGGGCTCAGGTAGTCATCCTTGCCATAAGACTCGGTGCACAAATATCCCTATTTACAAGTTCTACAAATGTGCAAGTACCCCGATTAAATGTTGGAAGATCTGGAAAGATAAACAGAAAGTCAGTGTTATGAACAAAGCTTTTGCACTGTAATACACACCCTGGCATATCTATCTTGCCTTCATAGTGTAAATTACTGTAGTTAAGTAAAGTGGATTGAGTTTCATCTCTTAAGGCAATTGGAGAATCTCTTTCCTCCACCTACTCTCTTCAAAGAGTAGAATGCAAACATTTTGCTCTCTAGTGGCCTACTAAAAGCCAACAAGAACATGTTTCCATTTGCTTTGCCAGATGTAGAAGAGTCAGCAAGAGATATTTGAAGGCACAAAAGTCCTCATCTGTGAGACATTTGGCACTGAAATCCCTCTGTGGTCAGTTTGCTTTCTCATCAGCTGCTTTAGAAGTATGCAGGCTGAGAAATAGGACTGACTCTTGAAAAATAGAACTGATGGCAAAAGATTCCCAAGCTTCCTGTTGTGGTATAAATGAACTGCTATAACTTGAACACTTTGTCTAACAAACCTTTGCAAATTGAGACCAAGTTTATTTATGCAAATCAGGAATACGGGATACTGCTTCAAAGGTTAGCTTTATTAATTTACCAGGAAAGAATTTCAGGACCTTTTAGCTACACAATCATCCTTTTCATTAATTACTTGCTTTTACTGGTAACTCTGCACAGTGCCCTTTTTCAAAAGGAAGGACTATGGATTATGGCCAATGCAATGCTTGTGCAAAAGGAATTTACCTCTGCCTTTCCGCCCCAAGGCTGGCTCTGGTACCCCTTGAAAAGTCTTTCCTGAGACCAAGAAAGGCAAGGTGAGTGGGTAGGAGCTTGC